TATTGAATTAAGTTGGTCCAAATATGGACAAACATTGCCAGTACAACACTACTAGGCCGGTAATAGGTAATTAGACGAAACGTATCTTAATGAATTAAAGTTACTTACCTAGCATAATGACACGTGCGTTTAAAATATGTCACGTGAAAATACAATTTTTATTATCGTGCACGCATAATCTTTTATTTCGCTTTTCTGCACCGTAAAATAGCAGATAAAATAATACTGTTTCTAAAACAGTTTTTTTTTAAATATTTCTATGTACATAGTTGGTATACGAGTGGTAAAGTTGCTTGGAAGCTGAAGTGGCTCAGGCTCTCTCTTTAAAAATAATATTACAAAAATCAGTATGCAAATAAAGATTGTATTTATGTGATCTACCCATAGAAATAACCAATAGGCGATATTATTTGTCGTTGTTTGTCATTAGCACAAAGCTACACAAAGGGCTATCTGCGCTCTGCCCACAACGGGTATCGAAACCCGATTTCTAACAGTACAAGTCCACAGACATACCACTGTTCTACTGGGGGGGGGGCTATTATTTGTCATCAAATCAACCGAGCTGAGGAGAGCTAATACATTTAGAAACTGTATTTCTCACCTGATAATGAAATGATTTTGTAACATTTATCAGCTGAACAAACCAAACATCATACAAAACTTACCTATTCAACTTTTTAGGTTCAAACTGAATATGGTTTCATGAGTTGTTAGAACCTAATTAGATCTACTAAACGCTATCTACACCCAACCTTTTAGGGCATTACTTTAATTGTTTTATCGCAAAGCTATACAATTGGCTACCTGTACTCTGTCAAATACAATGAATCTAATCCCGGATTTTAGCGTTGGAAGTCCGTACACTTACCGCTGAGCCACCAGGGGGACGAATTGTTTTAAAAGAAATTAAATATTTAATAAGAATCTGCGGGTCGTGGGTTCGAATCCCCGTCACACCAAACATGCTCGTCCTTTCAGCCATGGGGGCGTTATAATGTGACGGTAAATCCC